GTAAGTACCTAAAATGTTGTCTTATTCTTTTGTATTTTCTCAGTACTTAAACTCTTTTCCAAGCAGTGGTTACTTAAAGGCTTTATACAACCCAGAAATAAAGCGTAAGGGCAGTTAAAACATAGGTTTGGAGTAGTTTAACTATTTTATCTCAACCACCTTACATAAGAGGCACGTTTTTTGAGTAATAAAATGTAATTAAAAAAACAACAACAACAACGTCATATACAAACAATATTTATTGCAGCCAAAAATGAATCACACATTTACATTAATTCTCAACATAGTCACCATTGACTGCAGCACATTTTTGGCATCGTGGCACCAGATTCTTAATTCCAAAGTCATAGAAGCTCCATTCTCATACTGGATTTGGTGAAGAAAACAATTTGGCCACTTTTAACCAGCTCCTATTGAAAAAAGCTTTTGGTTAAAATTGTTACTATGTTTCTTGCACCACATTTATTGGCCTAAATTAGGTTCTTGTGCCACATTCAATTGTTCAGTGTCCCTCTCTTTTTGTGGTGGTGTCCCTTCCTACCTGTCTGGGTCTGGTGTGCTGGTCATGTTGTGAGACCTCTAGGTCTGTCCACCTGAACTCAGCTCCTGTTGTGAGACCTCTAGGTCCGTCCACCTGAGCTCAGCTCCTGTTGTGAGACCTCTAGGTCCGTCCACCTGAACTCAGCTCCTGTTGTTTGACCGAAAATATATCTATAGGTATATAAATGTGGGCTATCCTCCAAATAACGGTCCTAAATTATCGAGGTGAAAAACATACCCTAACAGGGCCTCAGTCACGTGTCAATTGCGCACTTCCATAGTCTTGAATTGCACACTTCAGGCGACTTCTGCCACCGCCGAGTGTATTCCCGCGGCGTGGATTGGGGCTAAACTAGATGGCTGGGACTCATGAGCAGCAGCTACCGCAGCTTTCTTCATTTTATTTGCTTGTGAGTCCTAGCCATCTAGTTTAGCCCCAATCCACGCGAGCGAAGCGGGCGATACTCTCGGCGGTGGCAGAAGTCGCTGGAATTGTGCAATTTAAGTAGGGTATATTTTCCACCTTGATAATTTAGGACCGTTATTCAGAGGATAGCCTAAATGTGTTAGGTCTTGTTCCCGTGAGATTCCATTGTATTATTTTGTCTCTGTTATTGTCTGTCCATGTGTGAATTTTTATTTATTGTTCCGGTACATGTGGTATGCCCTGCTTGGGGCATATCCTGGGTGGTCCATATCCTCTTACTGAGTCCTAAGCATGGTCATCCCTGGAAATGGCTTTCCTTAGGATTCCTTAGTAAAGTCTCTTCAAGAACAGTTTCCAGTGCTTTTTTTTATATCCTACCCCAAACAGGAAAAATCCACAGTTCACGGGACAGTCTAATATTTCAGGGTGTGGTAAATAGGCTGCATTCAGTCATGGGACCAAGGCTGCATCCAGTTGTAAGAACCTAGGCTGCACTCTCTTGTAGAATGTAGGTGGGTTGGGGTTAGGGCCAGTTCTAGATGTTTTGGGGTTGTTAAGTGCATTAAAAAGCCGGGAAACCCAGTCTTACCACCCTCTAAAATGTTGGACTGTCCTGTGACATCGGGAGTAGGCTATTACAAAAGAACCCAATTTCCTGACAGTTTTTTGCAAACAATCCTTAATCTGTTTCTCTAACCTGTGTGTCACCTCATTGAATTGTTGGGATGAGATTTAGGGATCTTCTATGTTAACTCACTGGTTAAGTTGATCTTCATTTATTTAATTTCTTGTGTGGGTTCTGGGGCTCTGTAATGGCTAAAACAAAAATAGACCCACTGCCTGCCCAAACGTAGGTTGTACGAGTGTACTAATTGGAAGCTTCCTTCAAGGTTGGAGTACATATGCCTGAGAGGCAAGGAACCAATTGTGTGCATGCAACACTCAGATTGTGGAACACCACTAGAGTCCAGAAGTGGATGAACAACCAAAACTTTCCGGCGGTGAACATGAAGAAGAAGAAAAAGATTTCTTTAACCCTTTCACCCTCATAAGTGATATCTTACTGACTATCCCCCACCTGTCTCAATCAGCACATCAACTGACTTCTTATATTTCAGTTTTGGGATATGCAAAATAAATCTGATGTATGTGCTGATGAAGGCTCTGTAATTGCAACATTCACATTTTGTTTATGTTTGTTAATTGTAAAGTTCACTGATATACTTTTTGTTCAGTTTTATATCTTATCTTGATAATATCCTTTCTTGATACAATAAATCTGGCACTCAAAGGTATATCTTTAATTAAATTTTTCCTACCTACAGAACAGCAGTGGTTGGGTTAGAATTTTCGTGGCAGTATTTAATGAAAACGATTAATTTTGGATGAAACCTCGTAGGACCAAAAGAGTGAAGTCTATGATACTATCACTCCATAATTTGTTGGGGTCTTCCTCTCGTTGTGTGTTATTACATTACTTCAGTGTGGCTCTCTATGGCAGTTGGTACCAATACATTCTCATCAGATAACCATCCCATCTCATCTGTTGCTCTTGATTGAAGTGTTTGACTAGATCAGACCTACTCTTCTTCTAGTTTCTTAATTTTTAATTTGATCTCTTCTTGTAACTCCGGCAGCTCCTCTAAGACATCTCCAGTGTTGCCACTTTTCTTTGAAAAGAAAACCCATCCAAAACAGAGTAAAAAATATGTAAAAACATCTAAATTTGTGTGGGAAACATATAGAAAAAACATCCAAATGGAAAGAGCCACAAATTACGTAGCAATTGATATGACTTACCCTATAGAATGATGTCTTCGTCTTTACTGAAGTCTGCCTTACAAGATCCACAGGATAAACTTAGCTTGGATGATGAAGTTAAAGTTTCAGATCCAAAATGACTCTGGTATGCTTTAGCTGTTCCAATTTCTTTTAATACCCATTCAGGGAGCTGATAAGTGGAACAGCCTTTTTCTACTCCTATCAGGCCAAATTTTATTGTCAAGATAGCATTTAGGAGGTCAAATTTCATTCTGTTTCTTAGGTTAGATTTGATAAATTCACTCCAAATGAAAAACATCTAGAAAACATCTACCATCTAAACATAAATAAATGCCATCTAAATGCAAGGGAAAACATCTAAATCTGGATGTAAAACATCACAAGTGGCAACACTGAACATCTCATCTCTGTTGAGCTTTTGCATTCGTTACTTGTAGTAAGGACCCAATGAACAAGTTTGTTGGTATACGCCCAAAAAACCCAGTCCCCCAACCATACCCTCCTATATGTTCTTCAACTAGTGTTGACATTTCATTTTTGTTGTTGTTGCTTTGGTGGTTTCAGATTGAATTTTCTTGAAATTATCTTAGGTAGGTAATTTTTACTCCGCCAGGACATCACACCAACTATAAACACCTGGTGACACAAAGTACCACCATGCGGATGAGGACCACCTGTGGAGAGGTCCCGGAAACCCTGTTCAGCCGTCAGGCCATATTTATGACCCTGTTATATTTAGGACCCCCCCGGCAAAAGCCAGGGTGGTGCTTTAAAATAACTAAAAATTGCATTCCACATAGGGACGACAGTATCTAATAGACATTATTTTAGGTTTGAAAAGCATGCAGGTCACTTTACCTTTTGTGACCTGGTATATCTGAAGAAAATGTACATGTAACATAATATCCTTCACCAGCCGTGATGACATAGAGAGAGAGAGAGAGAGAGGTCATTAACTTTTATTACCTTCATGTACCCAAGTGTGGTAGAATTTTTGATTTAATATTATAAACCCTTAACACGCTTTGGTGCACATTAATGCAAGCTATCCATAGTCCCTGTACGGGTTATCTCCCTTTAATCTTTCTTGCAGCAGGCAACAGAAGGCTTGAATAAATAACTGTTTTTCTTCAAAATGTAATCCTTGATGCAAACTTAATCATTGGCACACATCTGGCAAACCCTTGATGTCATCTTTTGCATAATGAGGTCCTTCAACGCAGTATATTTAAAGTTGTAATTATGTTATCACCGGTTTCATCTGCATTGTATGTGCGACAGAGTAGATTAAAAAACAAGTAAATTAAAAGCACCCAGACAGCTAACTTGTGTATTTGTCTGAACTTGATGCTTTGCATAAGCCACAATTTATTGCAATATTCAGTTAATAGAGTATGAAGACCACTGCTTCAGTGCATGTCTAGTTAGCTATTTAAAGTTGTAATCCTGTTGTCTCACTTTTATTGTTCTTTTATCCATGTGGAGGCTCTGGGGCCCCATTGTGGGGGAAAACAAGAAGAGACCTACTGCCTCCACAACAAGCATGTCATAAGAGTCAACACAAAGTCAAAGTACATCTGCCCGAGCGGCATGGAACAACAAACTGCAGACAAATAAGCCAGTAAAATGGATATCCTTACGAAACTCAGGTCCTGGCACAATGTCCAAATGAATTGAGCAACCAGGACATTCCGCTGGAACTTACAGCCGGTACCTTCCTATTGCTCCGACCCTTTAAAATACAGTTCCTCTTGTTGTAGTGACCCCCCAAAATACAATAATTTTCGTTGCTGCTTCATAACTTCAATGAATATGTGTTTTCCGGCGGTCTTAGGCGACCCCTGTGATAGGGTCGTTCTACCCACAGGTTGAGAACCGCTGGTCTAACTTGTCAGCCTTTCCCTTTAGAGAAGTGTCTCTCCTAGAAGATACCGTTCATTTAAATGAATAGTATATTAAGAAAGGGTGGAGTCTGCAAAGAGAGTTTAGACAAGACGTTCAAGCAGCAATGGCAAATTACTAAACATGAAATTGCCGAGTAAACACCAAACAGTCAAGACGAAAAAAAAATAATGGGATTTTTTCATGTGTACTTGGACTTCTAGTAATTTCCCCTGATCTCTGGGTAGTGAGATAGGACGCCCGTGTGCATTGTTGTGCACGTAAAAATTCCTTGGCAGTTGAAAATCGAAAAGAGTAGCCTAACGGCGCTACCCGGTGCAAAATTTGGAGTTGAAAATCTACCAAAAGT